GCAGCAACGGGGCAGGCTGGTTCTGCTGCCAGTGGGGCACGGGGCTGAGCCCGTCTGCTGCAGAAGCAATCAGGAAGCTGCGAAATCACCCCCAAGCATGCAATAAGGCACGACGGGGCAGATACAGAAGACAACTCCCTAAAAGGTCATTTTCTTGCAGGCCTCGCCTTCCCCCAAACCACCCCAGAGATTTTTGGGGAGGGCCGGTGGCCCGCTTCAGGGGAACAGCATCATGCACGGTGCCCCCCTGCCCAAACACCCAGCTTGGCTCATCCATCTGCCTGGCTGATGCAACCCAAAAACGCCCTAAAGCCCCCTTTGGTTGGGCAGCAGAGGAGAACCAGACAGCAGCACTAAAATCCATTGCCTAGCGCCGTGTCGAGGTTTGACATGATGATGTACCAGACGATGAAAACCCGAGGCTTAATTTCAAAAACACTTTGTTGTCCTGATGGCAGACGGGTTCGAGATGGCGAGCACTGTCTGCAGCCAGAATAGGAAAGCAATAACCAACATCTACCTTAGATGTCTGGGAGCACACCAAAGACGATGAGCGCTACAGAAGATTAGGGAACATTATCCTGGCTCCTGGCCAGAGCCTGGGTTTTTGGAGCCTTTATTCAGTTTTCTCAAGCAAGTGTTTTGCTTTTGAAGGTAACCTTCAAAAACACCTTCCCGAGAGCTTCTGCAAGCACAAAGGAAGGAATAAGGGTGGATGAACCCCAGAGCTGCCCCACGCTGGGATGCTCTGCTGTGGTTGGAAGAGGTGTTGAGGTTGGGATAACACCATCAGCAACGGGAGCCAAGGGCAAAGAGCTCTCAGGGATGGGCACTGGTCCAAGATCCAACTCCCGGCTCTCCCTGTAGCCACTCACCCTTGCTCTGCCTCAGTTTCCCCATCCGCAGGGTGTTCATCCACCCCCCAGGGCCTCTGAGCCCTCCTCATCTCTGCCTCTGCTTCCCATTTCTAGAACATCGATGTTTCCCTTCCTTCCCCATAAAGCACCATGCAACAGCTCAAAGCACTTGGCTATCAGTGATAAAAACCACCACCTTTGCTCATGAAGGGGTTGACAGGTTTTAATTAATGAACAGCCTGATGACATTTTGAGATCCCAGAATAGAGGCACTGTAAAAGTGCATATCACTGCCACATGTTAATCCTTCAAGAAAAAAAAAAAAACACCAAACAAAACCACCAAACACCGCTGCCTTCATGAGCAGCATTTTAACCTTTACTTCTCATTGCTTAGAGGCAGATGGAGTAAAAGAAAAGGTTTAGAGTTTGCTATAGCAAGGGACATGCTGCTGTATGGGAGAGACAGATTTCATATGCAATATCAGTTAACTGCAACCCAGAATTGATTAACTATTATGCAAAAGTCATAGGTTACCAATAAACTGGAGAATAGTTATTTCTGGTTTCCATTGCCTTGGATACGCGCCATGGCTGGAAGCAGCACCGACACAACCAAGAACATGCCAGGTTTGCAGGACCTGGGGGAGGGCAGTGCTCCCCGGCTGCTGGCCCCCCGAGCTCAGCACACCCCCCTCCGGGCAGGCATCTCATTCATTCACCAAATCCCTACCCCCCCAATGCAAAGCCCTACCCTGCAAACCCCAGCAATGTCCCAGCCTGAGCCAGGCCTGGCGTGACACCGTGTCCCTCCATCTCCCATCCCCCCCAGCACCTAAGTAGGGCTCGTTCTGGTGTAAACATAATTTCCCGATTTTTTTTTTTCACATCCCTTCAGACTTGCAGGGCTTTAAGT